CAATAGAATTTTCAGCATGAAACTTTTCCTCATTTTCCCTTTTAAAAATTAAGAGAGACAGTTTTTTTTCACAAAAAAAAAAGTAAAGGCCAAATCCTTTAAAATAAACATGCATGCATGCATGCATGTTGAACAATATATAAAAATGTTCCAAAGGGAAGCCGATGAAGGCTGTGTGAGAAATGTCGGTCAAACAAAATACTAATAGGAAGACTGTGTGTGAAAATGGTGAGTAATCACATCAAGGGAGACCTGTGTGTCGGGAACATTTATTTCTCGTGGGAGCGAATCATTCATTTGTGAGCGACTATTATACTAGTTGCCATTAAGGATTACAGCCACACCAGCTCATTACACGAATTAACCACCGTTTATTCTTAATCACTTAATTACTTAGAGATATATATATATATATTAAATGGGAGTAGCGTACGTCCTGCTCACATGAAACCCCAAGTTCCTTAACCTATTGCTTACATTTCTTTGGCGATATTTTTTTTCTTTTCGGAAATGACATATAGGTCGACGCCCGAGGAGGTCCAAATTTCAATCAAATACTATATATTTGCCTTTACTTTTTGATCTCTACTCTGAACAATGTCCCGTGTAGTTTAGAAATGTTTGGGTGCCGGGAAAACGTCGGAAAGGAAGAGAATACGACGTAAAAATGAATGATTATGTGATCATTTTTATTTCCCTTGATTGGAACAACTTCTTTAATACGACATATTAGAACTTAAAAAATAAAGCAACCGACGAGTTCATTAAAGGTTTCCAAAAGTTGGCTAGAAATCGTTAATAAGTTTCGCCCTCCATGTTGGAAATTAATACTACAAACATAATATGATACTATATAATAAAAAAGGCAAAGCTGTTAGCAGGAAAGGGTGCATGTGCATGAGCCGCGCTTATGTATATTAATGCAGTTTTAGAAGAACAAGAAAAAGCAAAGCTTCTGGGAGCATTGATGTGCACAGGGCGAAAATTCTAAATGGGCTGATAATGGAGCACTGCTGCAACTGCACATACAAACTAAAGTCAAAGCATTGATGAGGCAGATTAAAGTTAAGTCTGACGAATAAAGAGAAAAACCCAATATGTGTAGCTTTCCCTGTCTATATCACAGTAAGCACACCTTGGCTTGCTTGCCCTGCTTCACTCCAACCTAAGATCAAACTTAATCTGTCCATATACCCCGTCACGTATCATCACAACAACTTCATTCCACAAATTAATTAACAATTAATTCGTCTAATTATTACCCCTTTGTTCTTTTCTTACTACAATCACCTCTTATATATATATATACATATATTTCTCCGAATAACATGTTTTGTTTCGAGTATAAACTTTATCACTTTAATGTTCCTACTCAGTAGCGTTTAAAAAACAAAGTTTTTTTAGCTAATGACTTTTATAGAAAAAATAAGTAGTTTAAAATTTTATTTAAAAAAAGTAACTATATTTTTTGTTGATTTATATGGACGATGGAGGGGAGTGTGACCAAGTTAATTAAATCGATGCAGGGATCATATGGGAATTGCACTAATGAAAGTGCTTTTCAACATTTGTCATCAACGATTGGTACTGTAAAATTCACGTGCAGAGGGGAATTGTGGCGGCCTCCGAGTGGTGTGAAAGGATATTATTGGATAGAATTGGATTGGGGATTTAGCAAGTGATGGGTGAAATATACCAAATTTGGGTGAAAATTGGGGAGTGTGTAATCATTACAATAATCAATAATGCAGACAGGCACAGAACTTTGTTTTTTCTTTTCTAATTATGGAGTCGTGTGTGAACTTGAAAATGAGGGCGAGGAACAGTGCAGCCGCCTCTAATAATGTAAATAATGAATGTATAAATATCAATATGATTCATGAATTTTTCAAACCTCAACATACGTGTACATATCAACGAGGCACCGCCCGGGTCACATGTTAACATGTTGCTCACAATGGACCTGGAGGATCAGGTCTCATACTCCTTCATTTACCCTATATTTCCTACGAGAAAAATAGAAGGGAGATCAGGGACTAAAAAAACTTTAATGAGCTTGATGATTTGAAAAATCTAAAAAATGATGTTATAAAATTTTAATTAAAAGGAATATGTAAGATAAAACAGTAAAAAAATTAATTAAAAGCTTTTAACCTAACCTTTTATATTTTTTAAATTAAAATCATTAAAAAATTTTCCCTCCCCCCTTCTTGTATTCTGTCATATCAAGCAGGTTTAGCGTGTTATTCATTTATTCAAATGAAAACTCTCCTCTCCTGAATCTTCATTTCTGCTTTTAATTTAATTTGCTTCACCTAAACTTTGAATCCTCCATTCATTTGTCTGATTTTGGTTTTAAATATTTATATTTACATTTTTTTCAAATAAAATAATAAAGTCAGTTTCATCTTCACCTCTCCAATTTATCTACAGCCTCATCTAAAACTAGTTTTGGTGCTCATCACACTTATAAGCATAATGATACTCATTAAATCTTAACCAGTCGAAGTTAATATGAACGACCAATATTTAATTTTTTATATTTTTATTTTTCAAAAAATGTTTTCCTTTAATAGGTAGATAATCCAAAATAAATACAATCTTTTAATCGTGCTTTTTTAAAAAAATAATTTTATATTTAAAAATTACTAGTTAAAAAATTCAAATCCAAACTACTAAAACTGTATTTGAATAGTATAGATTTCAATGCAATGATGGTGTTATGATACTTGTCATCACAACGAGCACTGAAACTAGTTTTAGCTTGGCATCCTTCTCCGGGACCCAAAGCACCACCAAATTGCAAGAGTTATTTTATGTATGTTGTGTCATTTGTCATATATTGTTTTTCTTCTATACATCTACATTTAATTCTTAACATTTTCACCAAGAACATATTATTTCACCCTAAAAAAATCATAAAATCAGAGTATTGTTCCGTACTATTCATCATCTATTATAAATTCTATATTTCTATTTTACAGATTAAACATCTCAGACAACCAATAATTAAATTTTCATAGCACACTTTAGGGTTATTTCAAAAAAAAAAAATCAATCTTGGTAAATCAAAAAAGCTTGCCCCCAGCACTTGTCATTGGTCGAGGGGACTAATAATTAGAGTGCGCATGCTCCTGCTTCGGGCGGGTCCCCAATGGATGCATGATTATGATTGTGAATTAAAAATACAGGGAAGATTTTATGAAAAATTGACACTGCTTGTGATCTTTTTAATTTCGTTTTATCTGATTAGAAGGGGGCTCAAACAAGTACTGATTTTTTTTTTTAAATGATTAGGATTGTTTAAGACGTACATGATCCCTTGATTTGTGTTCAGGCTGGGGTGAACAAAAAAACAAGTGACGGAGGCGTCCCTGCCCCCACCCCATGGAATTTCACTTAATCCGGTTGCTCATAAATTAATAATTAGTTCAATGATTTACTTTAGAACGCCAAAGTTACTAATTTTGTTTTTTTTAGGATGGGCTTCCGTGATGAATTGGTTACCTTTTCCTTTTCCACGGGTATTGATGCTTCATTTTGAACATTTCAACTCTTCCTTATAAAAATGTTTATTCTGGAATTTTTTCCTTATATCCATTTCTTTAAAGTAACTTTTTTTTTTATAATTTCACTGGCTTTTTACATCGTTGCCCTTCGAATAATCATTGAATGGTTGATTTTTATCGTTATACATTGTTTGATTAAAACCCAATATTAATAAAAACTACTACTGCTTTAGTATTTTATTATTATTATTTTTATTTTTACTTTCCCTGCTGCCACTTGATTTCTGACAAGTCATACCAAAAAAAAAAAGTAATTTCTTTTATTCTCTTGCCCATCTCGTTTTTCCCGCCTTTCATTTTGTGCCAAATGGGGCCTACGGGTAATAAAATACCAAATAAAATAATAAATTGTAGCAATTCATCTCGTGGCAATAGACAACAAAAGGAAAAACAATTTAAAAAATAGTACGAGCTTTATTTTAACCTTTTTATGATGTGTGAGATTTTTGCATTTAAACGTGTTTTTAATATGAAAAAGTGGTATGACCACATGAGAGGATCGGCTACGAAAAGGAAAAAGAGAGAATGATTATTGTTCTAACATTTTATGATGTGTGAGATTCTGATGGCCACTATAAAAAGAAAATAGAAAATTCAAAATTAAGAATCTCGATTTTATAAAATTAGATATTATGCGACACGCAATGTGTAAAATTTGAAAAATAAATTATATTATTTATGAATTATGATTTGTAGATAGCTAGTGTGAAATAAAGCTTTGGTTGCCATTTAAATTTTAGCGGAGGACTGTCTATTATATATTCCATAATTCCAAACTACAGATCCTTTTTTTTTTTTTTGGTCCAATGCAGATACTACAGACGGGGCATGTGATATTCGGGGTTCGTCATTGGTGCACGCATGTTTATTCTGTGCGATTTGCATGATTATATATATGTGAATAGTCATGCATTAAATGTAAATTAAATTACCCTAACCACGTATTGATTGAAATGCAGCGAATGAAAATACTTTTAAATGACAGCTTTCATCAGAGCCCGTGAGTCTCTAACATGTGTCATTGGAATAGTCAACCATCACAGCCCATAACAAATATCACACTTTACTCCATACTCATTTCAACTAATAAAAGAGATCGTGTATACAGTCATGCTCCCACAAATACGCAAACTATATAAGCCCTCAATGGATTTCCTTTTCGATCCATGTCCTCGTTGCTGTCATAAACAACGTCTACATAACTACGTTGTATCCATTCTCGTTTGGGACATAGAGTTAACTTTGCCCCCACAATTTTACCTCATTTAACTCTTCAGAATTGCTCTCAAATAACTCTTAACAATCAGAACTCTCGGCTCGTTTTGGCTCAACTTAAGATAGAAATATTTGTAGAGCTAGGGTGATGAAATGAAAATAATTATATCAACACTTTAATTCCACCAACTGAGTCATTATTTCACTGTTTTACTAAACCAGCACGTATCTATTATTGCCTCTCACTTTTGCAACGCTTCGTCATTTATACTAAATGTTCCATTAGAGGCCGCGCAACCATGGAAATAGAAGTATTAATGATGAACAGGACAGCAGCAGAAGATGCTTCTTCCTAGATTTATTTATTCATCATCTAAAGGGCTTGAATGAAAGAAAACGAGGATTCGTTTTTTTCTTTTCCAGTAACATTACGATAGATATATGGTGTGAAGTTGCAAGCGGATTCAGGGCCAATCCCCAGAGTCGAGCAGGTGAGCCAATGATTCCAAATCCATGGCGCCATTATTCTCGTGGACATCGAAGCCACCCGTCGTCGTGGCCCACCCGCTGACCACAAGTTCGTCGACGGATCGGGGCTGGTCAAGGTTAAACATCCCGGCGTCTCCGTACAAATTTTCTGCACTCGGGGCAAACTGATAATAGCTTCCGCAGCTCCACATGTTCACATCGGAATTATGATTTTCACGAACCCCATCTTCGTCTGCATTAAGTCGAGGGTTTGGAGAACGTGAAACCTCCTCAAATTGATACGTGGCTATGGCGGCTAATTCATCGACCTCTTTCGGGCTTGAAGACGAAGGGTTGATGGTGGAGTTTTCGTTTGAATGGTGGGGTGGTAGGATAACTAGGTTCTTAAACCGAGCGGGCTTGGTTTGAATTAACTGTGGTTGTGGCTGAGGATCAACTGGAGTGACCTGCTCCAACTCAGCTAATTCCTTGCCTGTTGTTGATTTGCGGTGTGGATATGATTCCAAAGGTCTGACCTTCTTTGCCAGAGTAGTGTTCCAGTAGTTCTTGATTTCATTGTCTGTTCTCCCAGGAAGTCGCCCAGCTATGAGAGACCATCTGGGGCACGCAAGACGTGATATATATATATATATATAGGTGAATACACATCTGTAAATTAAAGTGACGAGAAGAAGAAGCGGGAGGGAGAGAGAAACTGAACAGACATCTGTAAATTAATTAACTGTGGTTGTGGCTGAGGATCAACTGGAGTGACCTGCTCCAACTCAGCTAATTCCTTGCCTGTTGTTGATTTGCGGTGTGGATATGATTCCAAAGGTCTGACCTTCTTTGCCAGAGTAGTGTTCCAGTAGTTCTTGATTTCATTGTCTGTTCTCCCAGGAAGTCGCCCAGCTATGAGAGACCATCTGGGGCACGCAAGACGTGATATATATATATATATATATAGGTGAATACACATCTGTAAATTAAAGTGACGAGAAGAAGAAGCGGGAGGGAGAGAGAAAAACTGAACAGACCTGTTGCCAAGAAGTTTATGGAGCCTGAGAATGAGATCTTCTTCATCACGAGTGATGTTGCCTCGCTTAATGTTAGGGCGGAGATAGTTTAACCACCGAAGCCTGCAGCTTTTGCCACACCTTTTCAAGCCTGCATTTGGGAGGGGAGAAATGCAGAGTGAGCGAAGATGGGAAGTGAAGAAGGAGGAAAATAGAGGAGGAAGTGAGGAAACCAGCTCGGTGGGGCAGGTTTCGCCATTTGCCTTCTCCGTGGGCTTGCACGTAAGAGCTGAGTAGCTTGTCCTCAAAGGCAGTCCAGGCTCCTCTGTTCAGTCCTTCCTTCGAGCAACACGGACTCCTCCCCATCAGTCTCTCTCTCCTCTCCTCTTTCTGTCTCTCTCTCTCTGTGACTAATTAATTAGAGCAAGGCAGCCCTTGGTTTTATATATATATATATATATATAAAAACCCCATGAAGCGCATTTGATTGTGAACCAAGTTTGACTAGGCTTAATTAGCTTCTCGTGGATGTCTTGAGCAACATTCGATACTCTCGTTGTGTGCGCGTCGGTTTCCTACAGCTAGTACGTAATATAGCATCACCTTTTTTGCTATCCTGGTGGTGTAATGTGTAATCATCAGATGCTTAGTTTTGGACTGAATAATACGAAGCAATTTTTTGTTTTTTCTTCTTCTTTTTCTTTTGGATAACACAAGTGGTGCAATACAACAAAGATGGTTTACCAAGACTTGGGATGGTAGAAGTAAAACCCTTGTGATCCCAACTCAAAAAGCTCCTAATTGTTGTTCAATTTTTATGACAGCACAGAAACGCGGAAACATTGTAGACGGTGGCTAGTTGAGATGTAGCGGAAAACATCGATATCATTTCTCGTTTGAATTACTCCTCTAATTCTTAATATAGGACTCAAGTGTTGAGTTTGTTCTGGTTCTAAATATAAAACCCATTTCTTATATTTATTAATTTTTTCTAAATTACTCCTATGGATACTCTATCAACCATAATCAAATAAAAGAGGAAGAAGGGTATTAAGAAAGATGAATATGGTCTTTTAGGAAAAACGTGTCACATTTCTTATAATTAACTAACTTACCTAACTTCCTTATATTAAGGGCTGGAGGAGTATTATATTATGTCTGAACACACCATTTTGTCGCAAACCTCGTGATCGCGTACGTGCTAAGCCTCCTTTTCAATTTTACATTCAAATTCAGTCATTATAATAGCCCCGCACACACTATATAACTATTTTTCGTTGGGATTGATGAGAAATGGCACGATATTATTTTTTGAATGGGATTAGGCATTTTCTTAATCCCCATCCTAATTGATCAAGCTCAGGGTGTGACTCGAGAGCTCGAATAACTTTTGTTTATTATTGTTTTAAAATTTAAATTTAAATTTTGGTTGTACATATATAGACTCCAGAGAAATAAAAAAATAAATGTCTAAATAACCAAGTTTCAAAATTCAAACTGAGTAATGTAGATACCGCTAGAGAGAAAATAAATGAGTCATTAGCTAAGTGATGTGTTTAGAATGTAGGATGTATTATTCTCACCAATAAGAGGGAGGATAACTTAGGCCTCCTTCTTTAATTTCAATAGTTTTGGGTTGTTGGTTAATCTCTGAAGCGTGGAATTTGATTAACCTTAAAAAGGTTTTTGTACTTTGTTCATCAACAATGATACTTCAAATTTTTCTTCCCATTACTTAACAGATATAAAAGCAAAAAGGAAAACGAAAAAGAGGAAGAAGAAATGGGCTTAATCAAAAAGATGGTTTTAATATTAATTAATTGCAAACAAGGTCTTCTGAAACACTTAATACCTTCGGATATGTTTCAGGGCCATCAAACTTGGAGTCGCTGCTACGGAGATAGGCTATAATGGGCAAGATGGAGAAGGGGCGAAATTAATAAGGCTTTGTTCATGAAGAGTTAAACGTGTATTCTGAGATCACAAAATGCCACCCTGCTTCTTGAAAATTCTTAAATTCGAGCCTTTTTTTACTTACAAGTTTATCAGTACCGAGCTTGAAAGAGTTTTTATGTTATTATTTTCAAGGGTCCAATTTTTTTTTTTTTTTAAAATCGGGCTTATTCGGACAGTTCAATGAGCTTGACATATATTAATGGTTCTAGTTATTCAATTGATAAACATGTACTCTTTCGTTCTAAATATAAGACCATTTTGTAATATAATTTACATTATAAAAAGGTCTTATATTTAGATCAGAGGAGTAATTTATATTCATGTGAGTGACTCATTAGCTGTTAGCGGGGATTACATATGTCAGTGTTTTATTAAGTAACGAATCTTACTCTAACTGCCATAAACAAAAAACAATAGCCGGAACACATTTAAAATATGAGGACATATATTATTGATATCAATATACCGGCAAAAAATAATTGATATCAATATAAAATATAAAAGGTATAAATAATATGGTCTACCTCAAATTCTATATGCATATAAATAACGTATTTGAGTTTTTTTCATTATTGTTAATAATAATAGGGGGTGAGTCTCTGCGTAAGAAATGAGGACATCATGACTCATGAAGGTTGCGATTTTTGTTTTTTCACCGGAACGAAAGTTGCGATTTGACAAGCAGTGAACAGATCGATTCTATATATCATATTCTCGAGTCTTAAATATAAAAATTTTATATATATTAATATAAAAATTTTATATTTAGAATCGAAAGAGTATATTATACACCAGAAAATACAGATGGATTCTATATTACTACTTTAATTCTTTAAACTTTAATAAATAAAAATAAAAAAAATAAAAAGACGGGCAACCATAGCAGCCAGTAGCCGCGACATTTATTATGATGCTATCTTATCCTCTACTCTACGAGACCTGGATACGAGAGCAATTTCATTGCTCATGAGTACCGTAATATTTATCACATCTCAACTATTTAGATTTAATAATTAATATGTTTATTTTTTAAAAAAATAATTTAAAATAAATATAATATCTTAATTGTAAGTTTTATTAAAAAAATAATTTTTATTTATAAATAACTAATTAAAAATTTTAAATTTAAATCACTAAAACTATAACTCAGTGATTTAGATTTTACCATAATGATAAACATCATAATATTCATCACTATAATAAGTACCAAAACTAGTTTCCCTTAGCACCGTTAAATACACTAATACATATAAATATGCGATGGGATATGCTATAAGCGTCATTATTAATAGATTAAATCTCGGAATTTATTATTAGGATGTGATTTAGATTATTATTTTAAGATTGCTAGTAATAAAAATATTAAATCAAATTGTAATTACTTTTTTCTGGATTTTCTCTTTGTTCTCTATTTTCTCCAAGCTTTTCACTTCTCTCCTCTCCCTTCCCTAATCGCCTTCCTTCCTTTCTTCCTTCCCATTTTACATCAATATGTTAATGTCAGGTTCGAGTGTAAAATCTCATTCATTGGTGGCGTTATTATTGAAGGAACTCGCCATTCACAAAACTTGGTCAATTTTAATCCAAAGTTACAACGATTTAGTATTTACTACCTTCTGAGATACTCTCTGCAGGACTGCAAGAAATCGCCAATTGTAACCAAGAATGGGACCCATATTCTTTATGTCATGCCTCTGATCTGTTCACAAAAGTACCCAGAATTATTATCATCATTATTATTAGTTTTTGGATGCAAGGAAAAGCACAAATAGCTAAACCCGGGATGTGACCCTCGGCAAGCTGGTGAGTGGTGACGTCCTTGTCAATCTCGCGTTGCCCAGCGGCGTTGGGGGGCGTCGAAGCACAGTAGTGCAGTCCAGTATAAGATCGAAAGGACTCCATAGGAATAGTTTAGCATGCCCTGAATGATGCTCAACAGCTCAACCAGAATTATTTTGGTTTGTACTGTAAGAGACGTCAACCGAACTTTTTAAGACACTACTCTCTGCTCGAAATTGCAACTCAAATTTAATTAATAAAAAATTTTCCCCGTTTATTAAATTGAAATTTTCAATAATATTCCTTTCCATCCTAAATAGAAATCCTAATTAATTACTTCAGAGAAATTTAAAAAAATGAGTAAAAATAGTTATTTTTATTATTATTATTATGTAAAATTGAAAATGACACTATTGCCCCTCATGTGAACAAATGTGGGAGAGCCTATTTGCAATTAAGACTAGATAATTTGCAACATACATACATATATTTACAACTAGAATTAGTTTATTTACATATCACCTTCTTCACCTGAAAAGAGAGTCCGTGAGTGAACAAGTATGAGAGAGTCCATTTGCAAGTAGAACTAGATAATTTGCAACATGCATACATATATCTATAACTAAAATTAGTCGATTCACATGTCACCTCCTTCACTTGAAGAAGGTGTCTGTGAGTGGACAAGTGTGGGAGAGCCTATTTGCAAGTGGGATTAGACAATTTGCAACATACATATATTTATTTATAACTAGAATTAGTTAGTTTACGTGTCACCTCCTTCACCTGAAAGGTGTTCGTGAGTGAATAAGTGTGGGAGAGCCTATTTGCAAGTGGGACTAGATAATTTGCAACATACATACTTGTATTTATAATTGGAATTAGTCTATTTATATGTCACTCTGCAATAAGTATTATAAGGGGCAACAACATCATTTTCTTTGTGGAATTAATATCATTTTCCCCCTTGGTCCTGCAGTGAATTTCAAAAAGTTTTGAGGGCTCTTTAAAATTAATTCTGTATTGTGGTCCTTAAACGAAATTTTTACTAGTAGTTATTTTATGTCTCAGATAATGAGGCAAACCCATAGTGGGTATGATGGAAAACTAAGGCTCTATTTGGTTGGAGAGTTATTGAGGAGAGGGGAGAGGAAAGGATGAGATAAGTATGTTTGGATGGAAAAAAATAGAGAGGAGGCGAAGGAAGAAATTTGTCTTTTAGTGCTCCCCTCCATTCTTTCTACTCCTTTCCAAATTTGGGATTTTTTGGAGGGGAGAGAAATATTATGTCTAATATTAACAAAACTACCCATACTAGCTTTTCAATATTTCAAGCTTGTCCATCTTATTAGAAACCGTTTTCTCTCTTCTTTCTCCTTTCAGCCAATATTATTGTACTGTAAGGGAGGTTATCGATTGATTGCTTAGCTGTTTGAAAAGTCAAAGTCCTTGCCATCGTCGGTATGCTTACATACTTAATTTATATATATGGGCTTCATACATCCAAGATATAATAGTGTAGCATGGCTTATATTTTACATAAGTTGAAAACGAATAGGAAGAAAATACTCAAATTGAGAATAATTTTAATCAGTTTTTGAGAGTGAAACTAATAAAAATATCATGTATTGAGCAATTGAATTATTTTTCATATACACCGATTGATATATACATATCACAACATGTGTGTATTATAATCTTAGATGGGTTACAAACATGCATATATATTAATCTGAGATAGGCTACATACATGCATGCATATTAATATATACATATCATAGAATGTGTGTATTACAATTATATAATATATACATATCATATATATTGATACACATGCGTGTGGACTATAATTATAAAATTAATGAGATAGAATGTTAAACTCTTTATCATATTTCCTATTTTTTTAGTTTTATCATAATTTTTTATCACATGTAAGTGAGGTAATTGGTTTTTTTGAAATGGATAAATTAAGAAATAATAATTTTGATATAAGTATTATAATAAAAGAATAAAACAGTCTAAATATATAGATAAGGACATATTTGTCAATTTATAATTATCTCTCCCTCCCTTGCCTTCCCTTTATGAACCAAACAAAAAATCTCTCCTCTTTTCTTCTCCCCTCCAACTAAACAAAACCTATAACCTCCTTTCCCTTCCCTTTCTCTTTCTTTAATTAAGCTCCCCTCCCCTTCACTGCGTTGAACCAAACAAAATCTAAAGGAAGAGGCAATTGATGAGGTACGTATTACACTAGGAGTATAGTACTATCACAATTTACAAAAACGTAAAGCAAAAGGGCTACCACCGTCTAAAATGAAAGCACTACTATATTTTATGCCTTATCCATTAAGATTTGTTCAAAAACCTTGCAATACCATAGAACTCTTCGAAAATCTAACATCTCAATGGTGTTTTTTTTTTCCCCTCGTCGGAGTCTTCACACTAGATATTAAGGCACTCTTCAAATGAAGTCCTGAGTTTAAATTCTTGATAAATTTCTTTTTATGCAGAAAAAGAATTCGAAACATATTTCTTGTTCATTGTCCTGATGTTTATTCCTGTTTTTTAATTTCTGGGGCTGAAGAGGGGGGAAATGAAGAAAAGGAAAACCAAAAGGGGGGCAATTATTGGAACCATATATATCTACTTTTGTAGGTGGGCGCGTCGTTTTCCCAAAGTGAAAGCCCAAGGAAGCCACAGAACAGAGAACAGCAACAAACTTTCAATCTAAGGACGAAAGTTAGTTTGGGATATGAAGGGGGCAGAGGACCACAAGTCACAACCACATCGTCTTTGAACGAATGGAATGGTAGATGAACTTTATTCACTGACACTAAAAACCTAAATCCTCAAGGTCCTTTATTTTCCCTATGTTTCTAGATTGAAGAGGGGCACAATCCCCACATTCCCAGAACTTCAGGGAGACTCTAACCTACCCATATTCTCAAACTGAGTATTACTTATAAATTTATGATATTTCACTGCGGGCAATTAATTACGTCCAAGTGGGGCGGCACCTAATTATTCTTTTGACGTCATGCATCCACGATAGATCCATGCACACTCTCTTTCTGACAGCCTCGTATAAATTGAAACTAGCTACTATCTCAGAATACGAAGGCTCATCAGTCTGTGACAGAATAAGAGAGTGGGGAGTGATAATGGGGAGGATTCGTTCGCGCAGTAATGAAGGGCAGAAAAGGGAGGCTTGGACTGCTCAAGAAGACAGAATACTGGCTGCTTATATCAGGGCCCATGGCGAAGGCAAATGGAAGAACATCCCCAAACAAACTGGTCGCCACATATCACTTCATTTCTTAATATGAGCAGCAGATTTTCAGATGATGATGAAGATGGTCTAAAGCGATGCAATTAACCAACTAATCACTGTATTATGAATGATGAGCAGGTCTCAGGAGATGTGGAAAATCGTGTAGGCTTCGGTGGATGAATTACCTAAGACCAGACATCAAAAGAGGTAATATTACGGAAGACGAAGAAGACCTCATTCTCAGGCTCCACAAGCTCTTGGGCAACAGGTACTTATCTATACTCCCTTCACACACACAGACCTTTTCATTAATTGGCCTTTTGATTTGGATTAAGAAGGCGCAATTTGCTGTTCAGATGGTCACTGATAGCAGGACGACTCCCGGGGCGAACAGACAATGAAATCAAAAACTACTGGAATACTAACTTAGCCAAGAAGGAGCAGGAGAAGCGAGCAAATGATATATCTCAAGATGGGGAGAAGGAGATTGCAGAGGCAAGGGTGTACCAGGGGGCTTTGGAGAGACTTCCTCCAGAGCCTAGGGAGATGGAGCCCAAGACGGAGTCCCCTGTTGCTATTGATGGTCAATCATATTCGCCAGGGGAAGAAAACGGGGATGCGGCTTTGATGGATTTTGATTTCAAGGACGTGGAGTTCTTGGAGTTTCTAGACTTGGATTTTACTGGACTTGCAGATTTTGACATGTTAATTAACATGGACGATTCCGAACAAGAAGCAGGGCAGAGTGATTCTCAGTCATTTTCATTTTCTGCTGAAACAAACGCTGCGCCGGGGAACCAGAAGGTCACCTATTGGTGAGGCTGGGGAAACGACTTGGGGTCTCGGAGTGCTTGCCTCGATCCAGGGCAAGAACGTCGCATCTAAAATTTTTGTGTTCTCTTCTGATCTGATAATAAATAAGAGGAAGGAAGGACGTACGTGTAAATGAAGTGTTCAAAATCAGTGAGAGATTGATTATACCTGTCATCTACTACACAAGATAATTTTGTCGGTTCATGGTTCATTGATCTTTCTTAAGTCTGCATCCCTGTTTGCTTCTCCCCTGCTGCCAAGTTTCCTCATTTTTCGTCCTCCCAACTTCCAAGTACTTGTTTGTGTTCCCCTGCTAATTACAGTCACTAGACGAGCAGCATTTCACAAAAAAAGAAAAAGAAAAAGAAAAATGATAAGAAAAAATGCGTGTTAGATTTTAAAATAATAAATAAGTGATGATGACTATTCTCATAATAATTTTGATATCATAAAATCCACCAAAATTAATTATTTATTATTTTGAAATTTAAAAATTATTTTTGTCATTTCTGGGGGGAAAAAAAAGGCAAGTAACCTTGTCAGATTTTCATACTAATAAATTCATCATATCAATTTATTATAAAACAACAACAAAAAACAAGTTTTGAAATGCTAATTTTTTGTCATGACCTGTAACAACTAATATCAAACATCTTTCTTAAGATATTCTTAAGCATAGATTGTGAGTTTAAATTATCGGTAAAAAAAAATTGAGTTATGACACAAAATGTTAAACTTTTATGCACTAAATTATATATAATATTGTTACATTTTTAATCAAAATAATATATATATTCAAGAACGATAAGATGATAAATTTCCAAACCAATAAAATCTAATTGAGCTAGGTTTTGGTTGGGAAAAAAAAACTGAGCTGGGTTTTGAAATTTATGAAGGTCATAACAGAAGTCACGATTTAATGAAATTTTCCAAAGATATTGACTAACTACTTGCTCACAAAATCATCACACTGATGATAAAAATCATATGGCTAATTGGAAAATAAATTAAATAAACATGGGAACTTGAAACAATAAACAATTTGTTTTGGAAGTTTTCCATAAAGAGCGTTAAACACCTCAAACTATTTTTGAATGTAAATTTTTTTTTTGAAAGTTTGAAATCATAACAATATTACCCCTATACTATTAAAAATATTAATAATCAATGTCATTATTTTAATGATCAATTTTAATTTTTTAACATCAATGGGTAATATTATTACGATTTTAAATTTATGAGGCAAATTTATACCTTAAAAAAAAAAACTTCCAACGCCCAGCACTCCCGACTGATGAAAACTTACAGACCAAATTCGCATATTAACCCCACAAAAGAACTATATATAATATTTTATTAACTAACAGATGCACCCATGCAATACCATATAAATTCTCGTGACAAGGTATGTTGATTGCAGAAAATATCGTGCTCCATATTCAGATCAAAATTCGCACATTAACTTCACAAAAGAATTATATATAATTTTTTTATTAACTAATAGATACACCCATGTATTATCATATAAATTCACATACCTGAGTTATGCATGCCCCCTAGAGATTTCAAACAAATTAAATCTCGCATTAGCCTCTTGATTTCATTTTCAAATCGACAAGAAATTCGAAATGAATATGATGAAAATACTAAAACCCATGCAATTTGGAAAGGATGTCGGCCCAACGTTAGTCTGAAAATGGATTTGGGCCGGTGAAATTTACTTCAGCCCATATTTGGTCCAAGACATTTGATTTACATTAATTACTAGCCCATAAGGGGTGTTTAAAAATCCATTTATAAATTTTTATATGAAAAAATCATTTGGAGGATTATAAATCAACGGTTCCTGAGTCTAAGAACGTGTTGTAAGAAAAGTTTCAACATCTAGATAGCCCAACTGGACCACGTCAAGAGAGGGAGAGACCAATTAGACGTTTCCGATTTTCATCAATTTTTGCTTGCAGTCCACTGCCCTTCGAATATATTATTCCACACATAATATTTAATATTTCCTTTTTTGTTAATTTTAGTTGAAGATACAATGATATTTTTATTTATAAATATTTCCATTATTTTTATTTAATTCATAAAAAATCCACAAACAGCCCGTACATCGGAACAGAAAGACAACCAATTTAAATAATGATTTGAACAAATGTCCATATCAACTCCTGGATGGGAAGGCAGTATTATACGTGGTAATTGTTAGATATTTTATTATATTAATATAAATATCAATAATGACAAACAGCAATTGGATAGCCGTCCATAAAATCAGCGGTGGACCACTTGTATTATTTGGTGGTCCAAAAAATAATGTTATTTTAATCTTTTAATAAATCAGGAAAAAAGACAATAAAATATTCTGAAAATTACTAAAGAACAAATCAATGCTGGTGAATTTCAAAATCCCAATTCAAGCTCTTTGAACTATTTTAGAATTTTCAAATCATGTCAAATTACATAAATGCCCTTCACTATTTTTTTTTTAAAAAATATTGCCATCTTAGCACCCTTAACAAGTTTTTGGACACTGAAGCTCTAGCATTGGCGACCTTACTGGTGGCTACCCACTGAAACTCATGCGACATGTCATCAGAACTCTAATAACTGGTTGCTGGAGTTCAGGTAACTACTCTCTCTTATACATTGGTTAATCTTATTAAGCTATTGACTGCATTTGATTTTAAAATTCAGATGAATACTTTTGTTTAGCTAGTAACTATTTTAGTATAGCTATTAACTATTTTTATTTTCAAAAATTTAGTAACTACTCTTGTTTAGCTATTGACTATTCTAATTTTGCTATTGACTATTTTTGTATCAAAAATTCAAAAATATATTAAGTGTTGTTGGAGATCTGGTGACTACTTTTTGTTTAGTTATTTACTACTCTTATATAGTCAATAGTTAAACTAGAATAGTCAATAGTTATATGAAAGTAATTACTAGAAGTAAAAGTAGTATTGTTATTTTATAATATTTTAAAATTTAAAATAGTATAAAAAGTCTAATTTGGGATCTTAAAATTTACTCACCGTAATTTATCTTTTAGTACTTTTGAGGCTATTTTAGTTTTCCCCCCTAAAAATATCAGTATTCGAATCTCTCTCTGTTTATATTTTTTGGCTTTTGTTGTTGCATCATTAAATGAAAAATGAAAATTAAAAAAAAGGCTGCGTCAATTTACACTTGAGGGTCGAGAACATACGGTTTGCACCGCGCGACGCCACCTACAGTTTAGAAATATTTAATTAGGACGGACAACAATATTAAGGATCAAGCTCTTATTATACACGCCGGATGGTAACATAAATATTACAATAACAGCTCACCAAACAAAAATATTGCAATATTAAAGATTAAATCGTGCTCTGGTTTTGATGATACCCTGCTGCTCTGATCTAATTAAATTGTCTTGTTTAATTTATTTAAGAAACGGATACCAAGAATTATAGTGACCATCGCTGAATGATGTCTTCCATTTAAGGTAATGACGTATTTCACACACACAAAGACACAAATTAAAAAATCTATTCATTATTGATAACTGATAAGTTTTTCTCTAGATTGCACCAGCATAAAAGAATAATAGTTGTCCGATCAGCAACGCGACCCATGACATGACGTTTAAAAGAGTTCTTGGCTTTAACATCTTTGTAACAAAAGATTTAGCCTATATATACCCATTGAACAGGCTGCATTCCTCGTCCCCTGCACTGAAGCAAATGGAACTTCATATCTTGAAAGCCATGGCAACGTCTTTTGCTTGCCTGGTTCTCCTCGCTTTGATGAAATTAGTCCATAATATGTGGTGGAGACCGAAAAGTGTTGAGAGGATATTAAGGAAGCAAGGAATCAAAGGCACTAGGTACCGGCTCTTCACAGGAGACGAACCAGAAATGAAGAAGTCTGCCAAAGATTCATGTTCTAAACCTATCGCCCTCAATAATGCTGAAATCATCCCTCGAGCCATTCCTTTCCATCACAAAATGGTAAAGCGATATGGTAAGCAAGCCAACTTCACACTACTCATAACCTCAGAGACCAAATAACTGACATGCTTTTCTTTTGTGCAGGTAAAGTTTCGTTATGCTGGTTTGGAAATATTCCAAGGCTGATAATTGGAGATGCAGAACTGATAAGGTTGATATTAGAAGACAAGAAAGGTGACTTTGTGCACCAACGCCTTAACCCACTGGTGAATCTTCAACACAAGGGTGTGTCAACCTTCGAAGGTGAAGAAGGGAGTAAACGCAGGAGGCTAATAACTCCTGCTTTCCACTTTGAAAAGTTGAAGGTAATTATACATGCTACAACGATCCCGCAATTATCTGAATCAAGCCAATATTAATTAATTTCTCAGTCAATTAACTAGTACTATACGCTATTATTTTTAAGCAGTATATATGACAGAATCAAACTAGAGCTGTAAAAACTAATGCAGGCAATGGTTCCGGCATTTTCAAGTTGCTGTAGCAACCTTATTGAGCGGTGGCAAAAACAAGCGGAACCACAAGGGTGGTGTGAAATCGATGTTGTTCCGGAACTCGTTGCTCTGGCCTGTGATGCCATAGCTCGAACAGCCTTCGGAGTTAACTACGAAGAGGGAAAGGAGTTATTTGAACTTCAGAAAATGCAACTGCCTTTGCTGGTTGAAGCCTATAATTCCATCTATGTCCCTGGCTTCAGGTGACCAACTTATTAATTAATCAGTTGCTTCTTAGACTTTGTAATAAATAGATGAAGTGATCAGTCACTTACTGCTTCAGCTAACACACATTTGCATGACCCTGTTAATTCTGTCTCAAGATTCGTACCGACAAGGAAGAACAGGAGGAGGTACCAATTATACAACAAAATCATAGCACTGTTGAAGAATATGCTGCGGCAAAGAGAAGAAGCCATGAAGAGAGGAGAATTGGGAGGAGGGCTTGATTTAATGGGCTTACTATTGCAGTGCAAAGAACAAAGCAACAATGATCTGGGACTTGAAGATGTGATAGAAGAATGCAAATTGTTCTACTTCGCCGGCCAGGAGACTACCGCCACCCTCGTCATATGGACTATGGTCTGCTTATCTATCCACCAAGATTGGCAAGAGAAGGCAAGACAAGAAGTTTTACAGATCTGCGGCAAAACAAAGCCTGATTCGGGAACCATTAATCGCCTCAAGATCGTAAGTCGAAATAATAACAATAATAGATTGTATCGAAATATTCATCACCCACACGTACATAAATATATGGAATTAATCTGATGATGACTCTTGCAGGTATCAACGATACTTCATGAAGTGCTGAGACTGTTTCCTCCTCTACCCGACGTCTTCAGATACACAGAGCGCGAAAGCAAGGTGGGAAGCCTATTGATACCTGCGGGGGTTGAGCTGTGCTTATCGGTGATGCATGTTCATTATGATACCAATTACTGGGGTGAGGATGCTGATGAGTTTAAGCCGGAGAGATTCAGTGAAGGAGTTTCAAATGCTTATTCAAATGATCAAATGGCTTTCTTTCCATTTGGTTGGGGCCCTAGAGTATGTATAGGCCAAGCTTTTTCCCTGATTGAAGCGAAAACAGTCATAGCCATGATCCTTCAACATTTCTCATTTGAACTCTCCCCTTCTTATACTCATGCGCCTCACCTTAACTGTAATATTAGGCCCCAGTATGGTGCTCCTATCAATCTACGCCCTCTATAGATAAGTCATCTGGTTGGCTTTGTGTTATAGTTCTTGTGCTGTATGGTATGGTTGCGTCGTGTGCTCGGTTTCAGAACCCCTTTTGTTACTTGTGAAGATCATGTGATTGAATAATGTAATGTCAAGTAATGAATATCGCCTAATATTACTCTGTAGACCATGCAAAACAATTTATTTTTTCTTTTAAAAATTAAATAGAATAAGAATGAAAGGATTGAAATGCGTTTCAACAATTAAATTCATTTATGATGTCTAAAATTATGTTGATAATGCTCCAATAATATAAATTATTAAAAGGAGAAGGGGTATTTTAGAGAATATTATTGTGCATAGATTTTATAAATAATTAGCTTAACTAATTTTTTTAATCTGTGTGAATTAGTTAATCAATTAATTAATTCGCTCCAATCAAAGGAAATAATGCATTTTAAAGAAATTACTCATGAGTTGCATGTTCGGTTTATCAAATGTATTCTGTTTATATTAAATATGATTTATAATGATTTAATGTTCAATTCAAAATTTCTATATTTTGAATAGAAGAATGTATGCATAAAATGCTGATTATTATGATCAGACCTGAATCATCCAAATTTAAAAAAATTTTATTTTAAAATGATAAATATATTTTTATGAAGTCACAATTAGAAGTTACTTTTAACTTTTGATTTTACGCATATTTAAATAATAAAATACTAAAAACACTGTTAAAGTATATAATTTATACATGTTGCTTCATATGATAGTATGCGTTATCCTTTCCGATTTTTCTTGTTTGAAAAATATCATATCACCCTCACGATGTGGTCCTAAATCTGTCGCTGAGTAATAAAAACACTATTAAAGTACATAGCATTACCTCAGGATGCAGACAACCAAACTGCCAAATATGTATTACTGCCCATCGTAAAATCGTAATCCGATACGCCATGTGGCTGTAATTAAGAGTTCAGGTTAATAAACTTCCTCTGGTGTTGTTATTTCAATCTTTTAATTAATGTTCAGCTTTAATTCGTCTTGTTGATATCATCAGTCTCCGACTCTCCTTAATTTCTGTTGATATTTTAATTAAAAAAAACTCTGTACGTACATATTGTCAGGGGAAACAATATGCATCTTTCTTTTAGGTACCACCTCTGAATCTAAATTTAATTGTTGATTTCATCGATCATCAACAGGAAAGCAGCTCTGTGAAACTTATATTAATCGATATTTACATCATATACTTAATATTTGACGATGAATGGGTTATCCATTCATGGCGTTGAGCTCCCCTGCATAATTAATATACAACGAAGAAGCTTTATAGTATCCTCGATCCTCAATTATTCATGTATGGGGTCCATCCTTTGATAATAATAACTGTCTATTTGTGTTGATAAATTATACGTATCAGGTACACTCTCAAGCAAATTAAAGTAATATATCCTGGGCCGTGCGCCCACAGCCAATCACGTACCTGTTTGTTTAAGTCTCTCGATCACAACGTCCCAACAACTTTCAAGCTTTTCACTGATATTTGTCTCTTTAAGCTGAGGTATTGTATACATTATTGACGCATGCTTACTAACTAACGAGCACTATATATATGATTTTTCAAGCAAAATTTGATTATCATAATTAACTCATGCAACAGCCATATATAATCACCACGTCATCTACTAATTAATCCTTACTTGGTACTTATGTCTACAAGTTAAAACCTTGTGATTAGAATACACATAAATTATAACCAACGGCGGTTGGTCCAAGTGGTAAGCAGCTTGGTACCGCTTAAATGAGATTTCGAGTTCGAGCCGATGTAATCGGAGCAAAGCTCCAGTGAACTGGGTGGGCAACAAAAGAAAAAAAGAATACACATAAATTATAGAAATTTTCAAGCGATGTTTTATTATTTAAATTTGGTCAAAGTATATTGAATTTTAACTATATGCATAATCTATTTTAATATTGTAAAGAAAGTCAGTTTAAGCAAAAAAAATAAAATAAAATAAAATTATATGGTAAGTAGCGGAAGCTAGTAATCTTCCCTCAATTATCCAAACAAGAAGCAGTTAGTTTCAGCTAGTATTTATTTATACTCATAAACAAGCTAATCATAATCCCTGGTCCCCTCCACAGGTGCGGATGGAAGATCATATCTTGAAAGCCATGGCGACCTCTTTTGCTTTTCTGGTTCTCTTTGTTATGATGAAACTTGTCCATATTTCCTGGTGGACACCCAAAAGTATTGAGAGAATATTAAGGAAACAAGGGATGAGGGGCACTTCATACCGTCCCTTCAGAGGGGACAAGCCAGAAATGGAGAAGTCTGTGAAAGACTCATCTTCTAAACCCATCGCCCTCAACGCCCAAGTCGTCCCTCGAGTCATCCCTTTCTATCACGACATGGTGAAGCGATATGGTAAGCAAACCAACTTTACAGTCTAATACATAAGAAAAAACCAAAAACTGATTTTCTTTTTTGGTGTAGGAAAAGTTTCCGTATGTTGGTCAGGGAGTATTCCAAGGTTGATAATAGGGGAGGCAGAGTTGATAAGGTTGATATTTGACGATAAGAAAGGCGGCATAACGCAGCAACCTCTTAACCCATTAGTGAAACTCCTCCACAAAGGTTTAGCAACCTTGGGAGGTGAAAAATGGAGTAAACGCAGAAGACAGATAACTCCTGCTTTCCACCTTGACAAGTTGAAGGTACGCATTCCACCAAATCTGTAATTTTTCAAAAAATCACTATTATATGTTGTCATTGTTAAGTAGCACGTGTATATATATATATATATATATATATATATATATGACAAAACTAGACCAATATTAAAAAATGTAGGGAATGGTTCCGGCATTTTCAAGCAGCTGTTATGACCTGATCGAGCGGTGGCAGAAAAAAGTAGAAGCACAAGGGTGGTGTGAAATTGACGTTGCTCCAGAACTCGATGCTTTGGCCTGTGATGCCATATCTCGAACAGCCTTTGGATGTAACTACCAAGAGGGAAAGCAGTTATTTGAACTCCAGAAAGAACAAGTGTCGCTGGCACATGAAGCCTATCAATCAATCTATGTCCCAGGCTTGAGGTGATCAACTTTACATACAAAATTGCAGACTTATAATTTCCTTTTTGATTATGAAATAATCAATTCCTTCTTAGACTTTGTAATAATTAATAAACAATTGGAATGAAGCCCATCACCAATAAAAGGAGGTGATCTTGTTGCCTCTCGCAAATTACATCATCTGACACACGTTTGCTTGACTGTATTAATTCTATCTCAAGGTTCGTACCCACAAGGAAGAACAAGAGGAGGTACCAATTATACGACCAAATCAAAGGATTATTGAGGAACATGATACGGCAAAGAGAAGATGCAACGAAAAGAGGAGAATTGGGAAGAGGCCTTGATTTATTGGGATTACTATTGCAGTGCAAAGAACAAAGCAAAAATAATGATCTGACAATTGAAGACGTGATGGAAGAATGCAAATTGTTCTACTTCGCTGGTCAAGAGACCACCGCCACCCTCCTCACATGGACTATGATCTGCTTATCTATGTACCCAGATTGGCAAGAGAAGGCCAGACAAGAAGTATTAGAGATCTGCGGCACAACAAAGCCTAATTCCGGAACCATTAGTCGCCTTAAGATTGTAAGTTCAAATAATAAATTGAGTTGAAATGCTCAGAGTTTGGTTCAACACTCACATTATACTTATCTGACACTTGCAGGTATCAATGATTCTTCATGAAGTGCTGAGACTGTATCCTCCTGTACCTATTTTGTTCAGATACACAAGACGCGAAACCAATGTGGGAAGGTTGTTGATACCAGCAGGGGCTGAGCTTTGCTTATCGGTGATGCATGCTCATTATGATACCAATTACTGGGGTGAGGATGCAGACCAGTTCAAGCCAGAGAGATTCTCTAAAGGAGTTTCAAAAGCCTCAAAGGATCAAGTGGCTTTTTATGCATTTGGTTGGGGTCCAAGAATATGCCTGGGCCAAGCCTTTGCTTTGATTGAAGCAAAGATAACTGTCGCTACAATTCTTCAACATTTCTCATTTCACCTCTCGCCGTCTTACGCTCATGCGCCTCACCTTGGCATTAATATAAAGCCCCAGTATGGTGCTCCTATCATTCTGCGTCGTATCTAAAGCTACTCGGCTTAGTGTTATACGACTAGTGTAATGCCTGCTGGGCTGAACTCTAGTTCACTTCTCTTAAAATCTCCAATTCCATTGACGCTGCTGAAATAGCTTTTATTGGGCCAGCCCAAGCATATCAAACTAGCTAGATAGGCTCTTCAGTTAATCCCATTATCGTCCTGAAGAGGTCAAGGCCCCAAACAAAGATATGAATTTGCATTTCAACTAAAATATGTGTGTCGCGAGTCATATTTTTGAATCAAACCAATCAGGGAGCTGACAAAACCGTTAAATATTTGCAGATATTTGTGTTCCATCAGTTTAATATATTGATTGATTTGACTTTTTTACCCATGAAAAAGTTGGTAGAGATGTTTGCTTTTATAGTTCAGACCCTCCCTGAGTCCTTGACGGTGCTTTGTTTTTGGGGTGTCGTTTTCATTTTTCAACCTTTAGTGGGACCTCTCTTTCAGCATCAAGAAAATGACCTGCCCTCCTCATCTCACATCCCACTGATACTATCTGTTCGTCAAATCATTCCGTTTCCACAGATTTCTGCTTAATCTGTTCTCTTTTTTTCTTTTCTGTTTTCATAATTTGATCAGAACCCACACATGTTTCAGTTTTACAATGGTCTTGTTCTTATCTTGAGCATATATTCCTTCATCTGTAGCATATATGCCTGCCAGACTGCTCGAGAAGTCGAAGATTTAAGCAAAAGAATATATGTGTGTGTTGAGCCAGTAAGCAAACAGTGGGATAAATGAATATAATAAAGCAAACAAACGTCAAAGGGTGATTGAAATTGAGAATATGAGGAGAGAATGGAAGATATGAAGCTTCTTTGTTTGGCATCTGGTTTTCACAAGTGGCGATAAATGAGAAGGAAGAATATGAAAATCCATGTGTGTGTGTGTGTGTAGGATATCTTCAACCACTCAACTCACAACTCAAAGCAATTCTCATCATGCAAAATTTACATATGGAGATGTTGTCTCAAACACCTTATAAAAGATACTTATCTCGCGAAAAACCTGCAAATAAAAATTAACGCCAAATCACACAAATGCCCTAACTGATATTTAGTCTTGTTCCTCTTTTGTTTATTGACACCAAAAATGAAGTCTGCTATATCTCGTTGTATTTATGGCGTACGTGTTAGCTTATTTTCTTTTTAACTTCGAGATTAATTTCCAATTTAATTACACACACACACACACACATATATATCTATCATTATCAATGCCTTGAATGCATTTGATATATGAATGGATATATTTTTGGGACATCTAGTCATTCTACTGCTTTTGAGGGGCAGTTTAGTAAATCAAGAGGGTGGGTTCTGCCGATGGGATCGCTGGGACTTCCCAGGCCTTGAGCCTTTGGGCTTCCGTTTTATAACTTGTGCTGTAACTTGGGCTCTGGGCCCACATCTCTCCCATCTTGCATTTCCTCGCCTTGTATGACGGGGTTGACCACTTGAAGGGCCAGCATCAAATATCTAACATAATTATCAACGGGATTGAATTTAGTAAAATAGGCTATACTAAAAAAAGTGCTCATATTTAATATTTGACAGTGCTTTGAATAAAATTGTCTCAAAAAAGAGGATGTTTGTACTTAGAAAAAAAATCTAACATAACTAAAAATAAAGTAAATGTTTTTCATGACAAAAAAAAAAATTGTTAGATATGCCCTTCTTGTACCATGCAGGAGAGTAAAAACAAAAAGAAAGAAAGAAAGAAAGAAATGATTTTTATAAAAATAGAATAATTTGCCCCCTATTTAGATGAGGAGAATATTAATGACAACTGAACTTGATAGAAAGAGTTGATTATAATCCTATTGAAATTGATACTCCCTAAATTTCTAGCCGAGAGAGAGATGTTTGGGTTTGTAGAAAAATAATCAACATTTTCGTTCCAAATTTTTAAAAAATGTTATTGATACGATGTATTATAACTTTCAATTATAAAAGAATCATTCTTAGGGATCAAAGTGTCAATAAGTCCTTCACGACAAATTCAAATATCATTTTTTGTTTTTAATCTAACAAACCGAAATATCATCTAACCCGAGGGGAACAAGATTAAAAGAGATCTTGTTCCACAACATATCTTGTTGGAATCCCATAAATAAACAACATGAAGCTTACCATATGATCTTTAATTTTCAAGATAATAATTCATTATACCCTGAAATCACGAGGACAATAGGTGATATTTAGAATGACTGCAAGTGAGGCATGTGTAAGTTTCTTTTCCCACGGAGCAAACTTTGCTTCAAATTTATCTCTATTCTACAATAGACAATAATACCTGATTTGCAATGCTTATATGGCAGAAGAGCTGACTTTTGAGCAGGAGAAAAGGCAACCTCTATGTTGCAACTCTATTGAGATATATGCTCTATAGAAAAGACTCTTGAACTAAGCAAATATATGTATATTTTTTAATGGAAATGTCTTGGGAAGACTTCTTAGGTGAAAAAAAGAAAAAGGGAAATGACCCCATTATTGTATTCACTGACAATGGTAGATGTCAGCTCCCTGTGAACCAGGATGTCTATTTGGGTCTGAGATCATTAGGAAGGCACGTTTCCTTAGATTTAGCCATACCGATACATGATGCAACAGGTATTACTGCTGCTTAACCAATTCGTTTGCTTGCACTTTTCAAAGCAAAGGGCTATTTTACAAAGATCAGCAAATTAATACTATATAAAACATATTGGTGACTGAACCTGGAAGCCAGACAAACAGAAGCTCCTTCTAAACAGCATAATCTCAATTCCCTTAGCAGCTGCAACTCTAATTGCAGGAATGATGACGCTCACGCATTTCTGTTATTCTCAAGCAACGGCAATAATTTAGCGAGAAAAAGAAACGATAAAAAGAAAACGCATTGAACAAAAGTTTCATATAAGTACGTACTGTAACAAGAATGTATCTAAAATTCAACTAACACTGAGAAAAGTATGCTAATAATATTGAAATTGCATAGATGATGATGCAGTACAACATTTCACCCTTCCGCATTTGCTTTCTGATTCTGCTCTCCGTGCTTTGATTTGTGGTAAGATGAACTTGGTCGAATTCTATCTCTATCAAAAACGTGTCATCATTAGTATGGATATTTGACAAGCCAATGAGAGTGGGACACCTGAGTGGAGAACAATCACATCATGAAACAAACGAAAATTATTATCCATAAATATTGTAATGTGAGTTAGGGGGATTCGATATCTTGGCAACACAACCTCAAAATCAAAAGAGACGCCCTAGAATTCCCAAGCTGATCACAGAACCAAGAAATGAGCCAATCAGGGCTGCACAACTGATCATGCTTTGCTAAAGAAAAGCGCGGCAATAATGTGACAGCATTTAGAATTTACAACAGACAACCAACGTACTACTCCTGGATGCCAAAGTTGGAGTCACTCTCTCCACCAATGATATCTCAACAACGCATCCACATCCTCGCGAACAAGACAAAGTGCCTCGTGACTCTCATTATGCCCAACAATTTACCACCATAGTATTATGCACGAACACTACACATGTCGTCCTTATCAATTTGTCAAACCACGGATCAACTAACCCCTTACATTTTATAGCTAGCACCAATTATATGCTGAATGATGGACGGGGAAAGCCAGAAAGATTGAACCTTTCACTTCTCTGTAACCATCATTACTAGATAAGACCATGAGAAGGATAAGGTGATTTCTTTTTAAGTCTCTATGGAGATCGATATAGCTGATATTTGTTCAGTTCTTTCTCAATTAATCTAATCTGTGCCGACCACAGACTACTGATATAATAGAAAGTTGTCCTGTGTGATTCTTGCGAATAAGTACGAAGAGAAGAGACAAGTTTTGAGGTGATAAGGGCACAGGAACGAGTCGAAATAGGAATAAGTAGCAGCAGCAGAACCACCTTCTCTTTTCTGACAGTGCCTTTGATTGAGCCAAAGACTTCTAAGTCTCAATTATCACGCATTTGACTACAAGAAACCATGGCCCAAAGAAATAAAAATAAACAAACATTGAATCATAATGATGAATTCATTCTTTTGAGGAATGATGAATTCGTTTTTCACTCAAGGAAAAAACAGATATTATATTGCCAAAGAGAGAATGGACTCCATGATGAGCTCAACTCAGCATACATTTACAAATCATGACCCGAACAAAGACAATGACGTCTTGTAATAAATATTATATATATATAAAGATATATCTGTGTATGCTGCTCAAAACCCTTTTAATTTTGTTTTGAGAGATCCCAACTTAGGATTTCGCTATGATTAGTCCCAAATATCAAGATAAGTATAAAGATACTTGGGGCCTCCAGAGTTCAACTTCAAGATCCCCTACGGCTGTTCAACCTCAATCACATCCAAAAAAAAAAGGATCCATGCCTTGTTCATGCGTATCTTAACGAACCTAACCATATCTTCCTATGCGCATATAATTCAACAGAAGTGTCCAAATTAAACTAGTATTGTTCAAAAATCTAAAGCCACAAGCTAGCTGGCTGGGACACAGAATATTGTTCTCACCATAAATAACTGGCTTTTTATAGTGCGATTGTCAAGTATCACCTCGTTTTCAAGATCGCCCTCAAGACGTCATGCCTAATCTTTTGAATAATATTATGGGTTTCCTCATTTTTCATGTCATTGGTAGGACTGTGTCAAGTTGGAGGCTTGGAAAATTGTTGAGCAAATTAGATTATGTAGGAAAAACGAGGCAATTTGCATTCCTGTTAATTTGTCCGGCGCTCAGGTCAACAAATTGAGTCCAACAAGTAACTTGAAGTACCCTCCTTAGTGTTAAGTACATACAGAAGAAAGTGCGGGTCTAACGTTCCTATGGCAACCAAAGCAGAAAACGGAAGAAAACATAAAGTAATATTGTTGGGTAGGATTAATTAAGAAAATAGATGCCTATGAGTCTACGAAGATAGATAATCCAATCGCATGAAGAATTTTGTAGGTGAAATGCAC